TGGTCTCTGCGAAAGCGACAATACTTGTCCCGACTTCTTTTGTTTGTCGGGGTTCTCATCTTGGTTGGCCATTTGACATAGTCCTTATCTCGAATATACATCAAGATTTCATTCTTTGTAGCACGCAAAGGAGTATACCTTTCAAACCTAGAGAGGTTGGACCGATCCTTCGATGAGTTGGTCGTGACAGACAGCCTATCCCATACTTTTTTCCTCTTTCTGCCATTATCGTCACCAGAGTCCCTCATCTTTTTTCTGTCAAAGGTCTCATGCTCATCATCCGCTCTTGACATCTCCTCAGCGTTGATGTACTTTTCGGCCCTACTGAAGAGATCAGGGAGGGATAGAGGTGGTTTTTTCACCAAAGAGAAAGCGAACCGTGAAGACTTTCGAACCCCATTCATGAGGGCGGCTAAGGCCACGGACTAGTCCATGTCCTCAATCTTTAATGCCTCTTTATTGAAACGTTGGATAAACTCCCTTAGCATTTCATTCGACCTCTGACGAACGCCCATAAGATGGGCTGACGCTTTCTTGTACCGTTTGCTGCTAACAAAGTGGTTGAGAAATTATTGTGCCAATTGTTTGAAAGTATGGATAGAGGCCGCTGGCAGTGAAGAGAACCAAACCCTGGCGCTCTTTCTTAGTGTGGCCGAGAATGCTCGACATTTGATGGCGTCGGTCTCCCCATGAAGCATCATGAGAGCTTGGAAATTCTCAAGGTGGTCATGGGGGTCCGAAGTTCCATCGTAATTCTCCATCTGAGGCATCTTGAAGCTAGAGGGAATTTCCTCTTTCATGATGCTATCAACAAAAGAGGACTCGGTGGGTGAGAAAATATCTGACGTCAGCTTTGTGACTTCTTTCCACACCACTCCGAGCCTTTCATTCATCTCCTCAATCTTTTGCTTAAGGTCGCCATCCTCAGGTGTGAAATTTCTTCTCCCAAGGTCTCTTTTGGATCTAACCTCGGTCTCATCGTCGGGGGCTTTAGAACCTTTGCCATGGCTAGTTTCTCGATCCTTTCAACCAAGGGATGCTTTGTTTTTCATCATACCCTTCATCAGGGTCTTCAGTTCAAGGAGTTCTTTTTTCCACCCTCTGCAGTCGTTCGGCCTCGGTCTCCGAGGTCACCAGATTTTGTGAACTTTGGCCTTGGCTATGGTTAGCCTGAGAGTTTGATTCACTTTCTTGGGATGGGTCATGTCGTGAGACGGCTCGCGTCCCTCGACTGGTTTCACCTCTCTTCCGCATCGCCAAGAATCCTCTTCCTAAGTTGTCGGTCCCACAGACGGCGCCAATTAATGATACAAGAATTACCTGACGTTAGTCAGAGGACACGTGGCGACGATGCTCCGATGTCTCCTTGGACTCGTCTCCTTTGCTCCAACGCCTGCAAAACAGAACCCCGGGGTGGTCCCCAGGGGTAGATCCTCCGATGACTAAGTTAGAATAGGTTTTTCTGAGGTGGTGGCTGCGGAATGAATAGAAGAGAGAGTTTGGAGAGTTCAGAATGTCCCTTACCTTGACCTAGGTCATCCTTTTATAGGAGTCAGACGACCTAGGTCTCCTTTCTGCAGGCGGAGGATTCCCTGGCCCATAAGCTTCGTGGGCTGAACTCAAACTTTGGCCCAAAGTAAAGCTCCTCTGGACCTTGGGCCTAAAGTAATTCTCCTCAGGACATTGGGCCCAGAGTAAAGCTCTTTGGGACCTTGGGCCTGAATTGGGGTTGGGATTCGGCCTTAATCCTGGACTCCAATAGTCCTCGGATCACGCCTGTCTTCTACCTCTCGAACCACGTGTCGTATAATAAATGTATATTTTTCCTTTATCAATTATTTTATTATTATTATTATTATTATTATTATTATTATTATTATTATTAGGTATCTTGGAGAATAAGTTAGGAACTAAATATTATTATAAGAGATATTGTATTGTTAGACAAGTTATGAATAGGGTTTAGGAGTCTTATTTAAAGAGATCCTCATCTATTGTTTGGTTCAATTGATTATTGAATGAAAATATGAATTGATTGTGAGTTTAGTGAAAAAGTATCTCGTTTATCCTTCCCATTCGTACGTTTCTCTACATCACCTTCCCTCCTCTCACCTTCATTACAGCCCATGCCCTCTCTTCGAACCAAAAATACCCTAGACCCATTTTTCATCGTTTTTGGCTATCTAGGGTTCTTTTTCGTCATAGGATCTTCCCAATGTATCGGGCATGATGAAAAATTAGCCTAGCGATTACGAGTTGTTTTTCTTTCTGATCGAGAGAATAACTTCATTGATATAGCCAAGGGCGACATCACAATCAACGATAAAGAGTGCCAATGCAGTCTCTTTGGAAAATCATTGGAGACGAAAGAGCTAGTTGGGTTGGTATCAAACGATCTATGAGCAATATATGGCGTTTGCAACGAAGTATGGAGGTCAAAGAACTGGGGCCAAAATATTTCCAGTTTATCTTCCAAAGCAGAGAATACCTTATTCGAGTGGCAAAGGACACTAATTCGATATTTGACAATCAATACCTCATCCTAGCAGGGTGGAAAGAATGGCTCTCTATCACCCATCATATTTTCTCAAAACTTAATATATGGGTGTAGGTATTCAACGTACATCTCAACTGGTTGAGCACTGAAGTTGGACTGAAAATTGGTGGGGTCTTCAAAAGAGTGAATAATGTTGTGGTTGTGGGAGCTGGTAGCCATGGGCGCCGTCTCATGAGATTGCTAGTTACAATGGATTTAAACGAGGCCTTACCTAGATGTGCTCACATTCGTATGGATAACCAATCAGTGATTGTCTGTTACAAATATGAAAGCTGGTAAATCATTGCCACTATTGTGGTTTTATTGGTCACTTAGAAAGGGGATGCTTGAAGAGAATGGAGTACATCAAAGCAAAAGACTTAAAGGTATGGCAATTTGGCGATTGGATGCGTGCTCCTGATTTTCAAAACTGGGCAAACTTGGGTAGCTCCAGCTCAAGAAATTCTCCTCCATCAGACAATCACACCCCAACCTCAGTGGCCCAGCCTACTTCTATTCACACGTCCACCACTGATGTAGAAGATAACAACCAAACTCATCCCTATTCAAGAGGACTCACCTCACAAGCTTAACATCTCACCTGACCCAATTACCCTCATATCTTCTAACCCCCCAAAGCTCAACCCTCAAAACTTTACCCTTATGGTGATTGAAAACACTGGGTCCCCTAATCTAAGGACGTGGAGTTATAACCAAGTCAACTTCATATCACAAGCGCTTTACCAAATTTCCTAGGTATTCTGAAAACTATATCTAAAACATGAAAAAGATCAGCCAACAGAGAAGGCCGACTTCAGAGACAAGAGGTATCTCTTGACAAAGAGACCCCTACAAAGAAATGAATTGGAAGCTGGCCATTCTGGAAACTCAGAGCAACCATTTTCTCAAGAAGACAGTAAGAGAAGTAAAGTGATAGTTGCAAAGGTGGGGGTTGTCAACCTTGAATGGCACCCGAGTGATAAATGCTAGCTGCAGTGTTGAACTGTAGAGGGTTAGGTGGGCCCTTTACGATTTCCAAAATCAGAGAATCCTACAGGACTCACCACCTTGGTTTTATTTTTTTATCTGAAACTAAGAATAAGCAAGGTTTTGTGAAAACTGTGAGTAAGAAATTGGGCTTTGTGGACAAGTGTGCAATTGTGGACCCTCGAAGGCAAAGTGAACGACTTCTTCTTCTTTGGAATAGTGATATACACATTTCTCAAATATGCAGTAAAGACTTCTATATTGTTGAGGAATTCATAGGCCAGGATGATCACATTTCATGGGAAATTTTTGCTTATATGAGCACTGACAAGCATACCAGAGAGTGTCAATAGGAAGAAATGATTCAAGATAAGCTCTATTGAGGAGACAAGTGGTTTATAATTGGAGACAAAAATGAAATTAGGTCTCCAGAGGATAAAAGAGGAGGCACGGAGAGAAGTGAGAATTTTTTTCTGAATTTAATGATTTTATATGTAAAAT